TTACCACATATATGCTCAATAGTGTTTGTTAAATGAGTGAATGCTTGGTTACATTGTAACTGCCAAATTCTTCACCTACTTGTTTCTTATCTTGATGGCAAGCTGCAAAACACCCTGACAGATCTTCCCTATTGCATCCTGACTACATGACTCTCAACAAATGATGCAATCGACTTTGCAGCTGTATTTGGTAGAATTAGCTATTGGTGGGGACTGGGGAATGTTACCCAGACAGGTAACAAATATCACTTACAAATGTTTAAGGGATCAAGGATAATTCTGTGAGGCTGCTGAAGATGAGTATGGAAGACGATTCATAGATCTTGACAATTTCTGTGTAGATCAGCTATATTTTTTAAATGTTTTCTGTACCCCTATAAAGGAGCCGAAAGCAAAGAAAACGTCTGTGAAACTACTTCATAATATACCAAGAGAACACAGGGCAAGACTAAGAAACTATGAAGCCCAATGCCATCCTTCTGCTTATAACAGTTCTGAGATGTCATTATGTAAGTATTATTGTTTTTGAAAATTAAGAGCTCTTTCACGAAGTGAAAGTAAATCATCACACAGAGTGGAATCATACTCCTTAGAACTCCATGATCAATACTGTTAAGTTGTTTGTAAAAACTAAGATAACAAAATAGAAAATTATAGCATATAATAGTCCGGAAAATGGAAGTAGAAGCCCACAACTTTAAGAAGGGAGTCTTTTAATTTAATGGGAGAAATACTAAAGTAATAATCATTCCTATATTCAGAGATAAACCTAATGAAATTACTCTAAAAAGAGGCACTGGTTAGGGATGTTCTTTCTGATGCCTGTGGTACTTGGAAGACCCTGTAGTTGGTGTGGTCAGAGAAGCAGCAGCTACTGGTGTTCTAGTTACACAAGGTAAGTTAACTTGGAAAACTGATCCTAGACAGATACTCCTTTAAGACACACTCAATATAGATGAAGCTGTTCTGTTTGCAAATATACATCCCTAGCACTCCTCTAAAGAGACAGGTCAGTACTCAACATGCTCATGTAACACACACTGCAATGAGATATTAACGTCTCTTATAACAGGAAAACATGACCTTGGCCACCTTCATCGGGAGTAACATATGTTACAGGACTGGCTGATAGAGTAATGAATGGTTGCTGATATAAGGGAGAAGAGTGACCACTTATTCAGCTTTCCAATTCAAGTAGGGACACTGAATCAGAGTCTATGCGTTGGAAGTACATTAAAGACTATTTACTCTGACGTCTCAAGTTTGAATCCCTCGAGTACCTCTCCAGTAAGGTTTGTTCCAATCTGTCTGAACCAAGTCTCCAAAAAGTATATCCTACCTTTCCCCTGGGTAATCCATTCCATCTCTGAATACAGGAGCTATCAGCCCAGAGATGGAGGCCAATTCTCTTTAATTTGTAATGACTCAGAAGCAATCACAGGTGCACAGCAAATGCACAGTGATTTATAATAATTCTGCTAACAATAAATACATTAATGAGGAGGATTTTGAGGATGGCAGTGCTAAGTATTCTATGCAGAATAAACTTCAAAAAGAAAAGAATTGTTCCATTTATTTTGAAGAATTTGTAAATATCATCTATTTTGATTTTTCAAAAACCAAATCCTTACTGCAAGAGAAAAGATTTATGCAAATTTGCTTGCATCTTATAAAAAAGATGTTTTTATTTTCCTCTGTAGTCCATGACAAATGGCATTAATTTGAAGGGAAGTGTGACTAGAACAATGGGCCTAGTCACTAATGGAAAAATTCAACGTATATTTTGCAAGATCTATGTTCCAAAACGGTAGGAAATGAAATTTGAAAAACAACTCTAAACTTTCCATTATCTTTAAAATCTTGCAATCCAATGATTATTACATTGCTTTTCTCATGAGTGTCTCATGAAAGATATCATGTTTCATGCAGCGACAGCTGGGTGGATTTAGCTAAAAGACAGGCTTTGGAACAGAGAGGTCTGTGGTTGAATCTCCCATCTTGCCATTTATTAGTTGTATAATGTGTTAAGTTATTTACAGTCTCTTGAGCCTCAGTTTCTTCATCTGTAACACACACATACACACACTCCTACACCTAATAGATCACAGGAAAAATTACTTGCCTAATAGAAAAAATAGAATTATTGTATATATTTCGTTAATATATGCAAAATGTTTAGAACACTTAGTTAGCACTTGATGAATATCAGCATTTTAATTTTTGCTGCTTTGAAAGTGTATTGAAGCATTGTGCTGTACACCAGAAACTGACACATTGTAAACTGGACTATACTTCAATAAAAATATAAATATACAAAAAAATGTATTGCCTTCCCTCACTTGATATGTTTATGGTGATGTCTACCAATGCATAAACTTACTCATATTGTGTTGAAATGTGATAGAAATGCCTGATTAACTTGATTCTCGTTTGCCTTGGTAAGGTTGCCAGTGTTATCCCCCTAGAGGAGGCAATGCAGTGTGGTGAAGCTTTGCTGTATTGGAGGCAAAGGTCCCAAGAACTAGCAATTTCAGAATAGACCTTTACTTTAACATCTCTATTTTATTTAAGTAAGAAAACAAAATGAAAAATTCCAGTTCCCAAATGGTCTGTGGACATCTAAAAAGTAAAACATGTAAAATTATACACGTTAGAACATTAGAACAGAAAGTGAGGCCTTCTTTCCCCTTTCCAGAACCTCTCTCACTGAACAGTCAAGACAGGTAAAATAACCATCTACTACAATGCAGCCTAAAAGTACCAGGTTTAGCAAAGGCTTAGTAGAGAAGATAAGTCACATCATCTCATAGTGTCACATTGGGCCTTTCATGATGCTTGGAGATCTTATGAGATAGGTACCAGCACTGCATTATTCAGGAGAACAAAAGGGAAAACGATAGCGTCCCACACGGGAATGTCACTAAAAGTGCACTGACGGGTCATCACCAAATAGCCAAGCACATTCTGATCTCGGCTGAGGAGGAAGGAGCTGCAGCGGACCGTGCGTCTAGTCCAGTATCAGCTCTGCCCCGGGTGGAAACGTCCCTCTGCTACAACAGGTGCCTCACATCTCTTTTGAGTTATATGCAGTGGATGGCCCAATTATTTTTCCATCCTTGAGTGTGAATGTGACCATCTTAACCTGGATTCAATGTAATTTTGCTCCTACTGAGGAAGCAGTATGCTTGGATTAGAGAACAAGAAAATTAAGCAAGAATTGTAGTAGCAAGAAATTTTCATTCAGGGCAAGAGGCTATTAATAGCAATTAAATAGTAATGAAAACATTTAGTCCTTCTTCCTTCCTAGTGACAGAAGTCCAATGTGAATTTTCCTCACTAACATAGTATCTGTAGAACTGCGCAAAAGCAACCTCAAAAATCTGATTTAGCAAAACGTCTCGTGAAGCAGAAGGTTTAGCAACAATTAACAAGTCATGGCAAGAATTGTTCAGTTTAGAATAGGGGACAGAAATGAGTAAGTTAAATCATTTTATCTTCCTTAGAAATTTGCCAACAATCTTGTTTTGACTGATCTTACCAACTAATATGCATTTGAATTTTTATTTCAAGTTGTGCAAGAGTACAAAAAAAGCTGTTTTAAAATTACAAGCCTGGTTTCTATGAAACGAGAACTCTCTGTAAATCTGTTAATAGTAATAAAAGTCATCTTATTTCTAATTGAAAATAAAGATATAATTTATAAAAGGAAATAAAACATGAGTACAAACAGAAGTTTGCATATTAAACACACTTCTTGAACTCTCTAATATAGAAGATAAGTGCCCATTAAATTACCAGACTAGTCTCAAAATGCCCATAAACACTGAGAATCAACCAGCAAAATAGTATTTTACAGAGAAGTGTTGTGTTAGCAACTGACACCAAGTCACTCTTCTCAAAACAAATTACTCATTAATAATATAAACCAATTCACTGATCATTTCTAACATAACTCCATCTTGTGCTTTTACTGTAAAAGGGAAATATTTGTTTCTCTTTAAGAAATCCTTGACGAAATTGTTGAAGCTTTAACAATTTATTTTTATTGGCGTATATTCTGACACATTTTATAATAACTGCAAAGAATAAGTAACGGTGATGTGTACACAGAATATATATGTATATATCTGTAGCTGGACTATTCATTAATTCATATCTAACAGTTTTTTTCTAAGAAAGGTAGAGAAGGCCTCCTATATGAAACTAAAGTTAAATAACAATTTAAAAGTAATTTTTGTCCCTTGGGAATTCATGACAATTGACTGACTTATAGACATAGGTGCATTAGATGCATTATCAGTAAGTTATGCATATTTAAAACTGTTTTCTAGTTAATTTGCACTGACTTAATGACCCTACTAATAAACTATCAACTATCTTTCTGGTCAACAAAATAGCATTCGCATGATTCTTTACTAAGGTTAAGCATGTAGCCTGTAATTACAAAATAAAAGGCAGGTAACTAGTCCACATGAAACAAACCTACTTGTTCTCTCTGCCTCTCTCATCTGTCAAGCTGAAATAAGTCACCCAAACTCTCAAGTTAATATGATTATAAATTTAGAAAACTACTGTAACAGGAAAATACATGGTGACATAAATAAGAACATCTTAACTAAATACATATTATCTCTTCACGTAGTTTTCATGTTTGTACAGTGATTTTGCACTAGATTAGGGAAAAATGAGAGTCACAAGAATTCAACAAAAGGACAGAGACTGTTAAAGAAACAAATATTTCCCTTTATTTGATTATATTACATCTACTCATGGGACATTCAAAATAACCGAAGTTCTCAATTTACAGGCCTATAAATAATGCTATTTAACTGAAATCCAGCCAGCAAATAGCAACATATATTTGAAGAACTGACTCGTGGAAAGTAATTTCCACATCAACTCAGCTTAGAAGAGTATCACACTAGATTCAGAATGTTCAGCATTTGAGAATCAGAAGAGTAACACTCAAGAGACTTTTATCAACAGTGAGGTTGCCTTACTCCTTTGCCAGCTGCACACTGGTAGGCTTTGCTCCGATGGGTATCCCGTGTTTGTGTAAAGTGTTCATCAAAGTCTCCCTCAGGTCGTTGTTGTAGGAATCAAAGTCAAACACATTTCTAACCACACTGGAGAGACCTTCGGTGGGAAATTTCTGTTAAAAAAAAAATCCCGTATTACCCTGCGATAAAATACACAATATCGTAAAGATTTACAAGACTGACAGAACAATAATGATCAAAAAACCTTCAGCAGATCTTTCTTTACTAGCCTCGGCAGATAACCACATAGGAGGAAAATACACATTTTTCTCTTTTAATGTTTGCTCTGATGACTTAATATTTTTCTTTTTAAATAAATATCAGAGTTTGAGAGGGAATAGTTCTTCCTCTCAAATGTTAAATCAGTGCTCAGATCCCAGTGTTTGGTGACTTCCACTGCTGCCTGAAATCTCCTGTCTTTAAAATGAGTATAGCTGACCGAATTAAAAAATGATACTTAAATAAAGGGGACTGTTGAATATCTATACAGAAGTATTTAGAGAAGTTGCAAGTCTATGAATAAAAAAAAAAGGAACAATAAAAGAAGGGGAGAAGAATATAAAAAGTACAGAGAAGAG